TTTAAAGAGAGTTCTGCCCTTTCTCCTATGGCTGACATTTTACAATCATCACAACACCTTTCAAATGCCATCTATCACGGAATCCATACTCCCATTACCAAAGCCAAATACTCTGTCCCCCCTCCTTTACTGTTTCAAACCCATTTTGATACCTTATTATTTCATAATCCAAACCCTATGTATGCCCCTCCCCTCCACCATTGCCACCAGGGTTAAGAAATGTGAAATTACATAGAGCAGATCCTTATTTATAATAAATTTATTCATTGATGCTGTCTCCTGCAAACAAAGAATCCAAAGTCAAACAGTGAAGTCAGAAATCTTTCCACTTAATGAAGTATTATTTTTCAAATATTAAGGGAGTGGCTATTAATGTTAGATGAAAGTAAGATTAACCTATGTGGAATTTTAATTTCAGCAGTGCATTTTGATAGATTGTAGGCAGATAGTTAGGTATCTAACAGATAGATGAGTATACAGCAGAGAATTATGTAGACTTCAAGACCTTAAAATAACCAAATATGAATAAAAGCTCTTTGAAAGGGAAATGACTGAACAACTTCCCACCATATTACCCTTAAAAGAAGGTGATATTCACATGTCGGAAACTTCAAATAATTTGTGGAAAACATACCCCAAAACAGGACCAGAGGGCAGGTAAGGTCAATCCTAAACCATTCTATGTGAAAGAAATGCGCAACTTGGATGAGTATGAAAATGATTTCCCACAGAAACCATTCCCAAAATCCAGGTGACAGTGACTGTGAATGGGAATGGACTGAGGTTCATGTGACTGTGGCTTCTTCCAGTAGTGTTCACACTTCTCCTGGCCTATCATCTGACAAGCCCAAGGGGGTGGCAAGAGTGGCAAGGGGGTCTGCCAGAGTGAAGACCTGCAGAAGATCCCATACCACAGATTCCTGTAAGCCTGCTATGATATGCCCTACCCCAAAGTACTGTGGGCTGTCTGTTTCTAAGAGGTCACTGGCAACTTGTTAGGGCTGGGTAGTGATAAACCTTGCCTCAACATACTGTGGGGGTGCCCCTATAGAAGAGGTCACTGGCAGCTCTTTAGGGCTGGGGAGATAGCTCAGTCAGTAAAGGGCTTACTACCCAAGCACAAAGGCTTGAGTTCAATCCCCAGACCCAGAACCCAAAATTAAAACAAACAAACAAACAAACAAACAAGCAAACAAGCCAGGCTTAGAGGAACATGTTTCTAATTCCAGTTCTGGGCAGGCAGAGACTTAGGGATGGCAGGTAGCCACCCTACCCTAATAAACAAGTCAAAGACCAGTGAGAGACCTATCTCAAAAATCAAACTAAATAGCCCCCAAGGAATGAGACCTGGGGTTATCTCTTCTCTATGTGAGAACTCACCCTCACAGACGTGTACATGAGCACACACACACACACACACACACACACACACACACACACCAGATCCTTAACTAAGCTAAACAAGAAGATTGTAATTCAAATTTTTCTCTTATAAGAGGTTACATAAACTCCAATAATGACCAGTGTATACAATTTTCTCAGCCCCAAATCTAAGCATCAATTAGAGAATGAACAGGCAAATTTTTAAAAGTAGTTCATAGGAAAGAATTTTGTAGTTTGAAAGTAAATGACCTCTGTAAAGGAATTAAAGCAAATACATTTTATGATGCATATTGGCAGCAGAATGGCATTATTAAATATTAATTTAGTATTCTCATGCATCTAGAAGTAAGAAAATAATGGAAGCAGACATTAAAACATACCATAAATTTACAACAATCAAAAGTTATGATACAAGCACCAAATAAAACAGATGTGGGAAATGAATGTGAGAAATATCCCACATTTTGTCCTCTGAGAAGCTCCACCCAGCAGTTGACTCAGACAGATACAAACACCCACAGCTGGAACTTGGGGAATCTTTTAGACGAGTAGGAGGAAGGATTGTGGGCCCCAAAGGGGATAGGAACTCCAACAGAGTCAGGATTCACTAACCTGTACTCTTGGGGCTCTCAGAGTCTGAATCACCAACCTAAGAACGTACATGGGCTGGACCTAGGCCTCCCTGCACATATGTAGCAAACATGCAGCTTGGTCGTATGTGGGTCCAGAACAACTGGAGCAGGGACTATCCCAAAATCTGTTGCTTGTACATCAGATATGTTCTTCTAACTGGCTGCCTTGTCTAGACTCTGTAGGAGAGCAAGCACCTAGCCTCGCAGTGATTTGAAATGCCAGGGTAGGAGGATACCCAAGGAAGCACCCACCTGCTCAGAGGAGAAGGGGGTAAAGATTGTGGGAAGGGGTGACTGGGAGGGGGCAATAAGTGGGATGTAAAGTGAATAAGTAAAAAAAAATTAAATCAAATTTTAAAAATGAAATATCCCAAGCTATATCCATGTATATTAAGAAAAGACCAACTTAGTTACACTATATTTAAAACTCATGAATGAGAGCGTTAAAATTCATTGTTTAAAAAAAAAACAAAGTGAAAATAAATTTAAATATGAAAAAGAAAATGAGGAAAACAAATTTCAGTTAGAGAAAGTAAAAGTAATTTTGTTTCGTTTTGTTTTCGAGACAGGGTTTCTCTGTATAGCCCTGGCTGTCCTGGAACTCACTCTGTAGACCAGGCTGGCCTCGAATTCAGAAATCCGCCTGTCTCTGCCTCCCAAGTGCTGGGATTAAAGGCGTGCGCCACCACTGCCCGGCAAAAGTAAATATTCTTACACGGAGAAATGGCTCATCGATCTCCTGGTTTGAGGGTGAAGTCTATCATAGATAGGAAATCTGTGGAGCAAGAGCTTAAGGCAACTAGCTGGTCACACTACCGTGTACTGTCAGGCAGGAGGAAGAGATGGGAAGGCTTAGCTTTCCTTTCATTTAATCCAGGCCTGCAGTCCATGGATGGCCCCGCCCACATATGGTGTGGGTTTTCCCTCCTCAGTAAAACTCTGGAAATCTCCTCAGGGCAAGCTCAGGGGATTGTCTCCCAGGTGTTTCTAAATCTGGTCAAGTTAACAAGGGAGGCTAAACCTCACAGCTGGGTACTCTCTGTGGGTGGTTGAATTTTCATATGTGTGTATCAGAGCTCACTCTGAAATGCCAAAGTCTCTGGCTCCTCTTTGGCATTTATAGAGATCAGAGATACTGTCTGGGGAGAAATAACTTTCAGGTAAGACTTGACAAAGAGTAAATAGATATTCTCTGTCTCTGTCTCTGTCTCTGTCTCTCTCTCTCTGTCTCTCTCTCTCTCTCTCTCTCTCTCTCTCTCTCTCTCTCTCTCTCCCTCCCTCCCTCCCTTCCTCCCTCCCTCTCTCTCAACGGGGTGTCACGGGGGAAAGAAAATGGATCCAGTTAACTTAAGAACAATTCAAACAAAGATTCACTTAGAGTCAGTGTCATGGAGCACATAAGGAGAGAGGGGGAAAGTGTGGCCCAAAGGTTTGAACAGGATGCTTGAGAAGATGGCAATGTGGTCAAGTAAGAAAAAAAAAAATCATAAAAACTAAATAAAAAGTTAGAATAAAATTACAATACATGGAGGAAATGTGGTTCTTTGATGATAGAAAGGTTGGAGCTAGATACTTAGAACAAGCGCCGCTGAAGCCTAGAACCATGAGGAGGGATGACAATGCCTGTGAAACCTGTATACAAAAGAAACAGAACAGAGCTGGGGAAAGAACCCTGAGACCAAAACAGTTAGAGCCAAACCAAACACACAGCTGAAATGCAAATGATTTGTAAAAAAAGAAAAGACTAGAAAGCAAGAGAGTACCTAAAAACTGTGGTACTCAAAAACTAAAACTATATAAATATACGCAAAATCAGATAATTTACATTAATATACCAACATGCTTTCTTCACTAAAGCAAAATATCTCATTATGTCATAGAATAAACTAAGTAACAAAAATATGTTCACCAAGTGTATTCTCAACCCAAATACACTAATATTGGGCAAGCTAAGACTTATATAACAGGCTAACTCACTTCATTGATTTGTAGAACACAATGAATTTATCCCTATTTGCATGAATGGATAGCTACATATTAATATACATTGTCAGATAAAGTATTGTAGTATGGAGACTGGGGTGATAGCTGAGTTTGTAGATGTGCCTCACAAACATGGGGACCTGAGTTTGATTCCCCAGAACCTATCTGAAAAAAAACAGGCCAGACACAAATTATATATTTATAATATATATTATATATACATATATTTTGTAGATATATACATATATTGTGTGTGCATATGTATCTATGTGTGTGTGAGTATATGTGTGTATAGATACAGTATGTGTATTCACAAGTATGTATATATAAATGAATCTGAAATGGAACTGCTAATTAAATTATCCCTTGTGATCACTGAGTGAACAACAGAAATAGTGTTTTGAGGGATTTGGGAGCCCCTTGAAGGTGAAGAACTGAAGCATTGTAAGTAACTGCTATTTCCTTCATCAGACACCTCCAATGAAGGCACGCTCAAAACTGCATTCTCACCTCAAAGCAAAGCCTGAAAATTAATACTGGCAAGGAGAGAGAAAATCCTTATTCAGAAGCTGTAACAGGACCAGTGCAGCGAACGTGAAAGTAAATTTTTATCTTGTAGATTTCTCGTTATCCTAGTCAGGAAATGGTGACTTCACAACTCTATGGGGTCTCTGTGTGAGAGGCAGTGCAATGATTAGGTCTGTCCCCTGGACACTGGAGGGGAGATAAGTGCACAGTTCTAAATGACCCAAATTACTCTAGTACTTAAAGCCTCTAAGGGTTTCTTGCCAAAAGCAGCCCATTCCCTCTGGATTTACAAAGCTGTTTTTAATTTGCTTGAAGAACAAGATCCTTTAGGACTTTTTCTATAGCAGCTATTCTGATATAGGAAGAACATACACATCTCCTCAAGATGCTTTGGATTGCCACTTGACCTGTGGCCAGAATCGAACTGCAGCATTCCAGAACCAGCTACAAAATTCAGTACAATGGCAAAAGCTATTTCATGGGGAAAAATGATGTTGTTTATTTCAACTTTTTTTTATTTTAATTTTTAAAATTTATACACACATATTTTGCCTGTGTATATGCCTATGGAGCATGTGGTTGCCTGCCTGGTGCCCTCAGAGGCCATAAGAGGGTGTCAGATAATCTTGAACTGGAGTTACAGATGGTTTGAGCTCCACGGAGTACTGGGAATTGAACCCAGATCTTTTTGGAGAGCAGCCACTGTTCTTAACCACTGAACAACCTCTCCAGCTCCCAGCTTATTTTAAGCGATTTTGGTTTTATGCTTTGTATTGTTTGGCTGTACGGTTTTGGTTTGGAGTTAGGGTCTCACCATGTAGTCCTGGTTGTCTCTGCCTGGGGCAGGCTGCCCTCATCCACTTGTCTCTGCGTTTAAGAGCTGCAATTAAAGGCACAAGCCAAAACACTTGGCTTACATAACATTTTAAAAATACACAGAGGAAAAAATGTCTGGGAACAGGTTCTGAGAATGTTAGGCCAATAAAGGACTGACAATTTTAAATTATGACAACTGTATCACTATGAGTTTCCAAAGATCTGGCATTCGGTCAAGCTGAAGCAGTTCAGTGGGGCTCTAATTTTTTGTTTATTTCGTTAACTAAATCCTGTTCTCAACATGACTAAATCAAAGACGAAATGTTAGAAAATCCTGTAGTATTGAATGTACAAGGAAATCCTCCAATTGAAAGAGATAGCAGTGCTGTGATTTCATCTCCAGTAATTGCCTAGTGGACCATCTTTCTGTGTCTCCTGAGAAGATTCCAATCAAATAACCTAGAGAGATGTAACATCGTTGAGAGTCAACATGGAGTCTGTCCTCTGTAAACCAAGCATTCATGGATGCCAAAAGTGCTATAGGGACATGATTGTGACCCATGCCATCAGATCTCAGGATGCTCTAAACCTGTGAATACAGAGGAATGATGGGAGAAAAGAAGCCATGGTTAGTATTGTGGATGCTCCATGTGGCAGCAACCTCTGGGCCCAGAAAACTTAGGTCCAGTTAACAACCTTTTATCATTGGACATGATTTGAATAATTCAAAAACTCTGGGTCTGATAAGAAGAACTTATGTGAGTCTTTTTCACCACACCCAGATCTGTGTTAGTTCCTAGACCCATGGGCCCCAAAAGAAAAAAGGTTAGCCACCGGGGAATACATACCACAGTTGTCTATCCATTTTTCTGCAGGAGGACATGACACCATTAAAGCAGAGAGAAATGCCTAAATCCTTGAGAGATTTTTGCATATTGGCTTTGAGCGAATGTTAATCCAGAGCATTGCTGTTGTCTGTCCAAGATAAACGGAGCTAAGATTTAAGCTAATTCACTGTGCAGAGGATGTCCTCATTTTTCCATGTCCTTAGAACATAATTTGAATAGATACACTAGAAAAACAGAAGACTCCTGACCTTGACTCTTACAAAGAAAAACCCTCTTGCTCTGTAAAGAACCAGGTGGAACCATCTGCTAAATGATGCATTTAAGGTAATAGCAAATAGGTCTAACAGACAATGAATGCTACATCAAATTCTTAGAAGCTCAGAAGTCCTAAGGTTGTCCCACATACCTTCAGGGTAGATTTGAGAAGGAACCACCTAATCTAGCGGTTATGTAAACCAGTTGGTCTTACTATGGCCTCTTCGATTAAATAAATCAGCCCAACCCCTAGTATCTCACATGCAGCCCCTGATCCCAAACTCCTTTTCTACAATCCACCAGAGAAAGCAATACTTAGTCTAGTCTATAGTTTCTCTGCTGTGAGAAGAGCAACTTTCAATATTTTGCCTTGGGGAAGGTCAAATCTTAGGCTCTGTAAAATGTGTCTGCTTAAACTGTGATTGTCTCCTATGCCACAAAAAGAAATATGATGCTGGTGTGTTATACTTGACAGAATCACACAGATGTAATCCAAGGAGAAGGAAGCAGCAGGTAAATATGGGCTAAGTCACATACGGAATAAGTGATTTGAAATGAATTTCATGAAAATATCAGGCTCTGAAATCTTAGTGATTGAGTCTATAGCCATCTGAGCCATGTCAGGAAGCTCCCTACAGTGCAGAGGGAAAGTTGCTACACTGTTCATCTCCACTGTCAAGAAACAAAGATAGGACCTGGTGATCTTGTTTGGACTTCTAGAATAACACAGGCTGTATGCATCACTGCCTCCTACCTCTCTATCCATGTCTGTACCCCATGAAGAGCTCTCAGTGGCCACCTGATGCAGGAAGAACAGATTGCCACTGTAAACCACCTGGTAAAAACAATATATTCCAGAGAAACACTTTAACTCTAAATCAAGACAACCGCCTCCAAGAAACTGGAATTTCCCCAAAAATCTTATGCTGGGAGAAGAAAAGTGTGGTCTTGCTAGAAACTCTTATTCCCCCAAATTCTTTTGTTCATTAAAAAAAAAAAAAAACTTAAGTGTCTTACAGAGAAACCATGGGTCAATGGAGGGCAAATCGTACCTTGACCAGGATTGTTTCGATGTGCATGTTCATGATCTTCTATCTAGGTTTTTAACCTCAATTCAGAACCCTGAGGATGAACTAACCGGTCACTAGATCTCTTTGTCTCTTTCCCCAAAGCAGCCACACTGAATAAACAATCATTTTCTGCTTTGTATTATTAATCTGTTTTGACATCTCAAGGATGAGTCTCTAGTTCTGTTTCCTGGGGTTACAGTCTGTGACACCAACGTTGGTAACATTACTCAAGTGTCTGCAGAGAACATGGGAGTGTGACACTTAGTGAGAATGCTAAATACCTATACGGATGATTGAGACTTTGAAATACAAATTGGACTCGAAGATAGCACAAAAAGAGGTGTGTCCACCACCAAGCCAAACCTCTACCGATTTTCATGTCCCATGTGATGATCACAAAATCTCACCTCTATACAAGAGGTTCACA